TGTCTCTTTCTTTCTTTCCCTCACTTCCACCCCTCTTTCTCACACACACACACACACACTCTCTCTCTCTCTCTCTCTCTCTATCCCTCTCTGCTTCTTGGAAATGGTCTGGCAAGCATAGTCGCATGATCATGTCAAAGATGTGACTATGACTGTCCGTGCCCAGATCGACCCAGCCCCTGTTCTTATCCTTCTCTTCGCTGTTCTCGCATCTGGTTGCTTCTCGTTCCAAGCTCCTCGTCGCTCTACACATTCTCTCTCTCCCTCGCAAGCCCTGTCTGTTGATGGGGATCTCGGGTGATGAATGCTGGTAGAGGCGAGAGGCGGTACTGGTACTTTGCGACCTTTGCTACTGCGTAGACGATTTCAGTCGCGTACGTCGAGACGCGGTATCTGTGATACTCCGTGGGCGGTATGTCATCACCACGCCGGTCCCTGCTGCCAGCATCGACGTCGTGAGTATCAGATGGTTTTTTTTTTTTTTGGCTATCCTGGCAGTATCGCTACATGCGCATGTGTGATCCGTACAGGTTACATGGAGTAGCTATACGTAGACAGCTGCTGCAGAGGGCAGCGAGTACATGTACACACACACCACCCACACCCGCAACCATGGTAACATGGTCCATCCCTCTTTTAAGCAATATCCATTTCGGGAGACCCGTCGACTTTTTTTGCTATAGCGGGACTCCACAGAACACAGCTGGTGGTGATGTATAATACATGATACTAGGGTATTATCATGTATGAGGTTTTGTATGGATATTATTTTTTGATACCACTTTTTATTTTTATTTTTTTTTAATCCATGTTCTCTGGCCTTGACTCTTGGAACATCCATCTCTTCCCTCCCCCCCTTTTCTTGCCATCCTCCTTTCCTCCCCCCCCCCCTCCCCCTCCTTCTCCATGACCCTCGCTTCCATCATTTCTCTTCTTTTCTTTTTTTTTTTTTTTTTTTTTGCCAATAAAAAAATTCCCCGAAGAACCAACAGGTGATGTAGTCAGGTGACGGACGATATGCGAGCGGATACGCCTCCTATTCTATTAATACTTTCTTTTCTTTCTCTTCTTTTTTCTTCTCTTCTTTTCCCTTTCTGCATTACAAGTACGGAGTAGCTCCGTGTAGCATTAAGAGTGGATAAGGAAGAGAGGTAGAAGGTAGTTTTTGATTTTATTTTAGTCTTACTACTGCATGTGTATGTATATATATAATGGACAGGATGGAGAAGGGGAGGGGGGAAGCAGCGAGGACAAGGCAGACCTCCCCTTCCCTCCAGGACCCAAAAGTACTCTATTATTGCACGCACTGCGCTCCCCCAATCCCACCATCGGATAGAGACAATGCCGAGATTGAATATCTATTCTTGTGAAAAGAGGGGGAAGGAGTGTCTTTTCCTTCCCTCTCCCAATTTTTCTTCTATCTTGTTTTTTCCTTTTTTTTTTTTTTTTAAAAAAAAAAAAAAGTTTCTTTTACTCGTGTAACTAAACTTTTCACATTCATTCCATTGAATAGGTTCTTTTGTATGATAGAAATTAGAAGAAAATAAGAGAATAAGAAAATGGAAGAAATTTCTATTGGGGGTGGAAGAAAGAACCCAACACTCTTACAACCCTCACACAATCCACTTCTACCATTGCATCGGTTAAGAAGAGTTGGTCCTGTAAAAAGGTAAAGTTTTTGACAGATTCCAGATGCCAGATTAATAAATAAAAATTTAATAAGAAGTTTTGGGTTAAAAAAAAAAAAAGAAAGGCTATGGACTATATATAGAGCCTGGCAGAGGGCTGCTGCATCATGTCATGATGCCATGATGTTCAAGTCATGATGCCATGATGTTCAAGTCATGATGCCACGATGTTCAAGTCATCGTTTCATCCATTCCATCCACTCTACCCCTCTGTACAAACTCGTGCTTCAACCTTGACCACGATCAAGGTCCAAGGTCCAAGGTCCAAGGTAGGGTATTCATGCGGTTCATCAGCGACTACAAAGCTGTACTGGTATCGTCTAATACAAGTGAACCTTACGTGAATGAAAGTATCTTCAGGATCACTCCCTACAAACGCTCCATACTATGAAAAAAAGAGAAGAGAAAAGGTCAGGAGCCTTTTGTATTCAATTGCTTGGTCCCGTTACAAGTCATCCTACGTCGATACACACACAAAACATGCATCACAGACATGATTCAATAATGTAATACTGAACAAGGAAGAGAAATCTTCTCCATCGTCAGCATTGTTTCCTTCCAACCTCTCGACACTCCATCCTCCAGCCATGCTTCCTTCCCACCACCAATGAAAATTTTGAAAAAAAAAAAAAAAAAATCTGCAACCATCCATCCCTGCCACGGAAGAGTTGGATAACATAAGAATGTGAATATGAATGTGTATAGGTTCTTCCCCAACAAGTTTTGTTCCGCTTTTTTAAGAAACATGAAAATAAAACAGACGAGGGGGTTGACCGAAACGAATCAGAAAGGAACAGGAAGAAAAACGCCTCTATCCCTATTGTTGCCTGGTCCAGATATATATGCTGGGGTCTTCACCATGAGAAGAAAAAAAAACAATGAAGCATAAAGATGATTTGAAAAAAAAAAAAAGAGAAAAGAAAAGAAGAAGAAGAAGAAGAAAAGGGGGGACGAAAAAAAAAAGAAAAAGATTCACAGCCAAGTCCTCGGCATCTCCTTTGGTGGTCCCGGCTCATCATCCTTTGGCGGTGGAGGCGGAGGAGGCAGCTCGAGCACGGCAGTCTTCTTGGTCAGCCGCGCCGGTCTCTCCCTCTCGGCCCTGTCGTGTGACAGACCGGCCTTGTCAACCGCCGTGTCGCTGTGGGATCTGGCCTGCGACGCTTCCAGCTCTGACCTCTCCGTGCTGGCTTCGCCCGGTCGAACCTTGGTCAGCTTGCGTGGCTGTCTCTTTGCCGCCGCCGCCGCCGACGACGACGGCACCGAGACCGACAGTCCCTGCTGAGCGATGTGCATCGTGCCTGGGCCCGAGCCCGAGACCGAGCCCGAGCCCGAGGGGGATACGTCGCCCGCCTGGTGGTCCGACGACGACGAGGCGACCGCCGCGGCGCGGCTGCCGTCGCTCAGCGTCCGGCTGAGTGCTAGGCTCGTGTTCGACGCGCTCCTGATCAGATAGTCCTTTACCGACTGCGTGTGTCCCGGTCCCTGTGCCGCTCCTCCTGGAGCAGGGACCTCGAGGCCGGGCGTGTCGTCGCCGGATCCGTCGGTGCTCGTGCGCGTCGGTGTCGGTGCCCTCGATGCCCCCGGTGCCGTCGATGTCGGCGAGACCTGCGGTGCCGGTATCGGCGACGGAGCCGGTGGCAGGGCCGGTACTTTCCTGTTCGGTTCGATCAGGGGGGTCGGCTTCTTGGAGCGAGGCTGTTTGTGAGGAGGGGAGAGTGGTCAGTCATCGATCGTGTTAGGGGGGGCGATTCTTCATCTTACCTGTGTGCCGAGGTACGCGTCGAGCTTCTTCTTGAGCACCTCGGACCGCACCGGCTTGGCCAGGTAGTCGTTCATGCCGGCCGCCAGGCACTTCTCCCGGTCACCCTGGATGGCCGAAGCCGTCATGGCGATGACGAGGATCTTGCGCACCGCCTCGATCGGGTCCTTGCGGATCAGCTTGGTCGCCTCGTACCCGTCCAGCACGGGCATCTGCACGTCCATCAGGACGATGTGGTACGGGTTGCCCTCGTTGGCCTGTTGCCGGAGGCCCTCGACCGCCTTCAGCCCGTTCTCGTACGCGCTCACCCTCGTGTACCCCAGACGCTGGACGTACTGGATCGCGATCTTCTGGTTGATGGGGTTGTCCTCGGCCACGCAGATGCGCACGTCCTCCTTGGATATCTCCGACAGGTCGAGGTACTGGTCCGACGAGGTCGGGCCGTCCGGCGAAGTCGGCGACAGCATCGCCGACGCGAAACCTCCGCCGCGGGGCCGCACCGCCACCGCCGCCGCCGCCGACGACGACGACGACGACGACCGGCCGACCGGCGGCGGCGACTTGGACTGGGCGTCGCCCGCCAGCACGTCCGACTTGGCCTTGTCGAATGAGACGGTGAACCAGGCCGTCGTGCCCACCGTCTCCTCGCTCTCGAGCTGGATCTTGCCCTTCATCATCGTCTCGATGAGGGACTTGCAGATGCTGAGCCCGAGACCGCTGCCTCCGTACTTCCTGGCCGTGCTGGCGTCGGCCTGGCTGAAGGGCTGGAACAGCTTGGCCAGCTGCTGCGGCGGGATGCCGATGCCCGTGTCGCGCACCCAGAACGTCAGCGTCGCGCTCTCCTCCGTCTCCGAGTTGAGCCTGGCACCGATGGTGATGGAGCCGTCCTCGGTGAACTTGAGGCTGTTGCCGATCAGGTTGCCCAGCACCTGGTGGAGCCGGATCGGGTCTCCGTAGATGAGCATGGGCGGCAGGTTGATGTCCTGGACGATCTTGACATTCTTCTTCGACGTCTTCTCACGGTTGCTGTACGACACCGCCCGCACCACCTCGCGCACCATCTCCTCGGGGTTGAAGGCGATGATGTACAGCTTCATCTTGTCCGCCTCCATCTTGGAGAAGTCGAGTATGTCGTTGATGACGGTCAGCAGCAGGTCGGCCGACACGCGGATCGAGTCGGCCATCTCCTGCTGCTCCCGGTTCAGGTTGCTGTCGCGCAGCAGCTCCGAGTTGCCGATGACGCCGTTGAGCGGCGTCCGGAGCTCGTGCGACACGTTGGCCAGGAAGATCGACTTGGCCCGGGCCGCCTCCTCGGCCAGCTTGACGTTCCTCTTGGCCTCGGCCTCGGCGTTCTTGGCCTTGGTCTCGGCCTCGCGCGCCTTGGCCAGCGCCCGCTGCTGCACCGACACCATGCTGCGGTTCTCGGCCGAGATCTTCTCCACGTTCTTCATCGCCACCGCGTTGGAGTAGCTGATGCTCAGCTGCACCACCAGCAGCTGCAGGACCGTCACGTTGCGGTCCGTGAACGAGCCCGGCTGGCCCTCGAGGTACACCACGCCGTGCAGCGGGTTGTCGCCGTGCTTGATCGGGATGGCGATGATGGCCCTGCCGGCCGGGTTCTCCCGCAGCCAGTCGTCGCTGACGTTGCCGAACCGCTCGTCCGAGATCAGGTCCGGGATGAAGACGGGCTCGAGGAAGCGCGTGCAGTACAGCACCACGTTCTCGGCGATGAAGGGCGTCCCCGACAGCGAGAGGGCCGGCCTGTGCGCCGACGCCCCCTTCTCCGGCTCGCCGCTGGCGGCCACGCACCAGCCCGAGTCGCCGTCGTCGCCGCTGCTCCCCTGGACGACGATGGCGGCCAGCGTGGCCGAGCTGCCGCACGTCTGCAGTATCACGTCGCTCATCGTCTTGAGGAGCTGGTCGATCTGCAGCACCGACGAGATGACCTGGGAGCTGACCAGGATGGTGTGGAGGTCGATGATGTCGAGGGCGGGCAGGCCGGCGCCGGCCTCGGCCTGCATGTTGGTCGAGTTCCTCCAGGCACCGATGCGGTCGCCCTTGGCCTCCGAGAGGGCGTTGGACGAGGCGGGCGGCGCCATGACGTCGTCGGCCACGGGGCCGTCGCCGCCGTCGACGGCCCGGTACTGCACGGGCGCCGTGTCGGTGACGAAGTCGGTCTGGACGCCGGCGTCGAGCGTCCGATGGTTGCGCGTCGGCCCGTGCAGCAGCAGGCTGTGCTCCTCCTCGATGAAGTCGGCCGCGCCCGTGGCGCCCACCTGGCGGTACAGCCCCACGGCATCCAGCAGGGCGGCGCGGGCGGACCTGCGGGCCTTGCGGCGGAGGAAGTAGCCGGCCATGAGGTAGTTGGCCAGGGCCTCGTCGAAGACGAACTCGTGCTCGGCCGCGTGGTCCAGGGCCTCCTCGTAGTGCTGGACGGCCTGGCCGAGGTCGCCGGTGAGCTCGAGGATCTGGGCCTCGAGGATCTTGATCCAGGAGAAGTAGTTGGCGTCGTACACGGCGGCCCAGTCCCGCATCATGCCGACAAAGGTGCGCAGGTCGGCCACCACCGAGTCCAGGTGCGCCCGGAAGTCGTCGGGCGGGCCGGGCGGCCCGCGCGGGTCCTGCATCTGGCGCAGATGCTGGCCGGCTCGGGCCAGGCCGTAGAAGAGGAGGAGGGACCGGCTGTTGCGTAGGGTGCGGATCAGGGGCAGCGACTCCAGGCAGCGCCTGCCCACCTCGACGGCGCGGTCGTAGTGGCCGTACAGGAAGAGCGGTATCAGCTCGAGCGTCTCGTACATGAGCACCGAGCGGGCGCTGTACTGCATCTGCGACGACAGCCAGGCCTTGTACGCGGCCGTGCTGTGCTGCTGGTCGCTCAGGACCTCGAGCGGGTCCCGGATGTTGGTCTTGCCCTGGAAGGCGCGGGCCACCTGCCTCACGACGAGCAGGACGGCCCCTCCCTGGGTGTCGAGGGTCCAGTTGACGATCTCCTCGCAGCCGTACTGGCAGAAGGCCTCGAGGTCGGCCACGTTCTCGTGGGCGAATAGCTTGGTCAGGGCGTAGATGCCGTAGCTGAGCACGATGGACATCCGGTCGCCCGTGTTGGTGGCGAAGTCGACCGCGTCCTCGGCCTGGGCGAGGGTCTGGGACATGGGCGCCGCGACGTGGCCGAAGAGGCAGGGGTACAGCATCAGCCCCCGCGCGACGGTCATCGGGTCGGTGCTGTGCTGCAGCAGCTCCTGCGAGACGGAGGCCAGGTAGACGGCCAGCGGGGCCGTGCCGAAGCGGCAGAGGGCGACGACGGCCGAGTGGAGGAAGGCCATGCTCGACTGGGGGAAGGCGCCCCGGGTGAGGTGCATCTCGAGCATGAGGAGGGCGAGGTAGTAGTAGCGCAGGGAGTCGCTCCACCAGGCGGAGCCGGTGGCCTCAGACAGGACGGCCCCGACCGCGGACAGCGTGCGGTCCTCCGCGGCGGTCAGGCCGAGGAGGGCGGGGCGGTCCATGGACTCGACCCTGGCCGAGAGCTGCCCGAACTTGGCGTCGCACTTGTCGTAGGTGGGCTCCTCGTCGAGCTCCACGCCGAGGGCCGCCAGGCACTCCCGGAGCGAGGACTCGACGCCCTGGACGTTGCCGGCCTGGGAGAAGAGGCGCGACTGCAGGACGTAGGCCGGGGCCTTGTCTATGGCCGTCTTGGCGTGCCTGAGTATGACGGCGAGGGTCTCGTGGGCGGCCTGGTGCTGGCCCATGTAGAGGTGGCACTCGGTCGCGCGGATGTGGAGCTCGATTGTCTCGTCGTAGTCGACGTCCTCGGCACCCTCGTTCCACGGGTCGGGCTGGAGCAGCTTCAGGGCGGTGCCGTAGTACTTGACGGCCGACGGCCTGGCGCCGTTGTCGGCGGCCGAGCGCGCGCAGTCGGCGAGCTGCCTGCGGAAGGCGCGGCGGTGCGCGACGCGGAGCTTGATGATGTCGGCCGCCTCGCAGATGTGGAAGGCCGTCGAGTCCATGAGGCGGGCGTCCTCGAGGTAGTACTTGAGCAGGGTCTGGGCGATGATGAAGTGCATCCTCCGGGCGCTGCACTCCTTGAGGTCGGCGGCGGCGTGGACGAAGCGGTCGTGGGCGAAGGAGAAGCGGTCGTCGTTCTCGCTGGCGACGATGACGTAGGCCTGGAGGGCGGCCTGGAGGCCGTCGACGGCCTGGGCCTGCGTGTAGCCTCTGCGGTCCTGGTCGTCGCAGCAGTCCAGCCACGTCTCGTCCGCGTACTCGAACTCGCCGCTCATGAGGCGGCAGACGAGCTCGAAGGAGAAGCTGTTGCCCAGCAGGGCGGCCCAGGCGAGCATGGAGCGCGCCGCCGGGGGCAGCTCGTCGAGGCGGCGGGTGATGAAGCCCGTGTCCAGGACGTCGTAGTCCTTCTCGCCGCGGAACTGCTCGAACAGCCGTTCCAGGTCAAAGTGCCACATGCTGTCCCGGTAGTCGTACCAGATGCACTTCTTGCGGTAGCACGCGCTCAGCATCTCGCGGATGTAGAAGGGGTTTCCGGCCGTCTTGGACTGTATGACGAGGGCCAGCGACAGGATGTCGTCGCGCGGCCGGCAGAGCGTCTCCGAGACGTAGTAGACGATGTCGTCCTCGCTCAGGGGGGAGAGGGTGATCCGGGTGACGGTGGGGCCCTGGAGACGGGGGAGCACCTCGTCCGTCTCCGGGTAGAGTATCCTGTGCATGCTCTCGGAGGAGAACTCGTTGGAGCGGTAGGTGACGACGACGACCATCTTGAGGCGGGCGGCGATGATCTGGCTGATGAGCTCGAGCGACTCGTCGTCGGCGAAGTGCAGGTCCTCGATGCAGAAGCAGATGAACTTGTGGGCGGTGAAGACGCGGACGACGTCGAGGAAGGTGTTCATCAGGCGTATCGACTTGGTGGGGGCGGTGGGGGGCGCGGAGGCGCGGATGCCCGGCTCCGTCGGGCCCTGGGGCAGGAGCGCCGGCGAGCTCCCGGGCGACGACCCGCGACGCTTACCGGGGCCACCGCGGGTGGCGCTGCTGCCCCCGCCGCCGACGGCGGCGCTGGCACTGTTGCGGATGCCGGAACCCTGCGAGGAGACGGAGCGTGGGGTGGCGGTGATGGCCGCGGACGGGTCGGGCGGGCCGAGGAGGAACTCTGGCAAGCCCAGGACGCGGTGGAGCATGGGCCAGACGGGACGGATGTACTGCTTGAGGCCCTGGTGGAAGGGCGTCTCGGTGTTGCGCTCGCCCCAGACCTGCTTGAAGAGCGAGGAGAGGAGCTTGAGGAGCGGGCCGAAGGCCGTCTTGCGCGACGTGTCGAACTTGGCCGTGGCGCAGTAGCCGCGACGCCTGGCGTCGGCGAGGATGCTCTGGATGAGGCAGCTCTTGCCCAGACCGCCGGCACCCTCGACGATGACGACCTCGCAGTGCCCGCGGCGCCTGAACTTGGCGTTGCCGAGCTGCCTCGACAGGCTCGAGGCGCCCGAGTCGGTGGCGCCGCTGTAGCGGTTCCCCTCGGTGCTGTCGACGAGGCTGCGGGTGTCCTGCGACAGGGACTGGTGCCTCTCCCAGGGGCGGGCCACCCGGGTCGGGGTCGAGGACTGCATGAGGGCGCCGTCGGCCGAGCCGGCGAGCACGTCGAACTGGAAGGACTGGAGGGCGCTGGCGCCGGCGCCGAGGCTGGCGGCGCTGGTCCTCATGGCCTTTGTGGGGTCGGACGAGGCCGTGTAGGTGAAGGAGCCGCCGCTCTGGCGGTTCCCGTCGATGGAGCTGGCGCCGCCGTCGCTGGAGCGCTCGTCGAAGCCGGCGACGTCGACCGAGAGGTTGGAGCCGTCGGAGTAGTGGCTGGTCAGGCTGGAGGTCTTCTTGCTCATGGCGTGGTTCTGGGCGACGCGGTCGATGACCTTGATGAGGTCGTCCCTCTCCTTCTGGCGGCCAATCATGTCGGTGGGGAGCATGAAGAAGGACGAGACGTCCTTGGAGCCGATCTCCATCCTGCCGAGGGCGTCCAGGTCGCCGTTGACGAGGAGCTCCTGGACCTTGACGAGGTCGTGGCGCAGGCCGCTAGCCGAGTGGTACCTGTCGGTGATATTCTTGGAGGTGCACTTCTGGATGATGCGGCCGAGGGCGTCGGGGACATCCATGCGGAACTCGGAGACGCTGGGGACCCTGCGGCCGAGGACGCCCTGGACGATGTCGAGCGGCGTGTCGCCGTTGTACACGGGCTGCTGGGTCAGGAGCATCCAGAAGAGGACGCCGAGGGCGTAGATGTCGGTCCTGCTGTCGGGCTCGGCGGGCATGCGGCCGGTCTGCTCGGGGCTGATGTAGAGCAGCTTGTTCTTGGCGCCGGGCTCCCTGGACAGCATGGACCAGCCGCTACTGGTCAGGCCGTGCTCGAAGGAGCGGACGCCGCTGCCAAAGTTGGCGATGCGGACCTTGCCCTCGTCGGCGTTGAAGTGGAAGGCGTCGCCGCGCAGCTCGCCGTGGACGATGCCCTGGCCGTGATGGAGGATCTCGAGGCACTTGGAGGCGCCGATGGCGAAGTCGAGGAACTGCGGCAGGCTGATGGGCTTCTCCAACTTGGGGTTGAGCTTGCGGTAGGCGACGTAGGAGTCGCCCTGCTTGCGGGCGCTGTACCAGTTAGGGCCCATGTCGAGGACCTTGGCGAGGTAGTTGTCGCCAAAGTAGTCGTAGATGGCGACGGTGACGATGCCGCGGTCTCCGGGCACGGGGGTGAGGCGGATGAGGTCGATGGGCTTGACGATGTGCTCGCCGGTGGGGTCGGCGGTGGTGGTGAGGCTCTTTGTAATGTGGAAGGCGCGCTCTTCCCTGAGGCCGTTGTATGAGAGGCGAGCCACGACGGGCTCCTCTATCGTGTGCGCATCGAGCGGTGGGGAGGAGAAATTCGTCGCTTGCGCCTGTGCCTGCTGCTGATGCTGCTGCTGCTGATGCTGCTGCTGCTGATGCTGGAATGTCACGTAATCGTGGTGGTTATCGCTGGGTGTAGGGCCTCCGCCGAACGGGACCCTGGAGACGGACCCCGGGCTGGAGGCATTGCACTGCGAAGAAGCTGCTGGGTAGAAAGGGGAGACCTGACGGGTGCCGCTGACGTGCCAGAAATCGTATGTAGAGTGAAAGGGTGGTATGGACTCATCCCAAGAGTATCCGGCAATCTGGCGAAGACGCTCGTATAGTCGCGGCGGCGGATCGAGTAAGTTGTCCGAGGCGGCGCCGTCCATGATGGCCTCTCACGCGGCCTGCCCCTCTCGGGGGGGGGGAGAGAGAGAGAGAGAGGAGAGAGAGGAGGCGACGGCGGCGGAGGCGGCAGCGGCGGTGACGCGGAGGGGGGGAGGGGGGGGGGGATATGNCGGAGGCGGCAGCGGCGGTGACGCGGAGGGGGGGAGGGGGGGGGGGATATGCCCTTTTTTTTTATGTATTGGTCAGAGGGCGACAACGACGGACGAATGTGTGTGCGTGTGTGTCGTGAACCGGGCCCCCCTTAATTGTATGTGGGGTGGAACGAGGTCATCCAAGGCCTTCCAAGGTTCCCATCCTGCGTTGCGTTCTGTATATCTTGTCGGTGTGTATTTTGAATTCCTTTTTTTTTCTTCTCCCCTTAGTGACGTTTCGGTGTGGGATCGAATATGTTCGCGAGGGGGAGGTGGGTTATGGTGGTTTGAAAAAAAAGAAGAAAGAAAAAAGAAAAGAAAAAATGTCGTTAGGGAAAGCAGAGAAAAAAAAATTGTTCCGAGAATAAAGAATATGAACAGGAAAAAAAATGGAAACACCTACACTGAGAAAGGGGGGGAGGAGAGTGTGGAAGATCCGAGAGGGGAACGCGCGATGGGATGATGGCGTTTGCGGTTCTACTCTCTGTTTCTCTCAGAGGGTCGATCCGGGGGTGGTGATGAGCGGGGGGGGGGGAGGATGGTTGGTATTAGTGGTGGTGGTGGTGGTGGTTTGGTGGTTTAATGACGACTTTTGGAGACGGATGAACCGAATGCACGATGAGACTGCTACGTCGTCGTATGTGCTCCTGCTTGGCGGTACATTCATCACCCCGATAGAGGAAGGGAGAGAATGCTGCGTGTGTCTGTATCTTTGCGTGTGTGTGTGGTAATAGTAGCCCACACGCAGAATCGTAGAGAGAGTATGATATGCGAGTACGTATCACTACTTACCTGTATCGTAGTACTCCGTATGTATGGAAATAATTGGGAGACCAAAAGGGCCACCACAGTCCAAGAGTGGCTCCCCTTCAGAGTCTACATGCGGTGCATGGTTGTGGAGTCTGTATAGTCACCATCACGGCACATGGTTGGTTTCTGTGGCAATTCTCTCGGCTCGCTATGCAAGCATCCAGCAGTTGAGGATTGACTACCTTGTCCGGTCACCGTACGAGTGGGTGTTTTGGCCATGGCGATGGGTAGCGATATCGATCTCAGCCAGTATCAATACGAGGTGTCTGTTCCATCTGCTTGTTATCGGCGTGTACGGACCATGTATGCGTATGTTACCAAGTGGCAAGTACTGATCATCAGAGATAGGAGTCTGTCCAGGTCATCCATCGGTCCTCTCCTCCCTGGCCCCTACGGCATGTTCGATACTCTGTGGCCCCCATGATGGACGCCTTCATCTACAGTATGCATACGCTGCTGATCATGTCCATGCGGCGTGTCCCCTCTTCCTTTTTTCTCTTTCCTTCTTCCCAGCACAGGCGGTTGAGTAGTGATACGGATATATGTAATCTGCAGGGCAGTTGGCGATGCTACCAACTATCACTCGCACATCTCAATACTGCACACGTATCGATGCTCGTGAGAGCAGATAATACCACATCGCCACTACAGAGTACCATTACGTCCCGTCCGACCAGAGAGTACCTACCCATAAGAGCCGGAAGTACGGATACGGAGCAGTACCAGAATTAAAGTACAGAGACAGAGTCCTTGGTCAGACATTCCGATGCCGAAACCAGCACACACGCACACGCACACTTACCGTAGAGGCACAGGGGTCTCACCTCTTTTTTCTGCAGACTACAGGGCCCCTCCCTGTACCTGTAATAAATGATGTAAGTGGCCACCTGCACCTGGACAGAGCCCGACCCGACCGACCATCCGAGCACTCATGCACTCGCGCACTGGGCATGGTAATGCTGAGCACACAACTCTGCTCTGAGCCTTGGATATAGGGGGGGAGGGACCATGTCTCCCCACTGGGCTAGGTCCTTCTTCTTTTTATCCCTCTCTCTTCTCTTGTTTCCTTGCCGCCTCATCACCAGCCTGCCATTGATCTACAAGTACGAGTTCTGGACGAGTACGGATACTCCGTAAGTATCATTGCTGTATGTGTACTTCCCTATTGCGTCCAGCATGACGAGGAGTCCCGTCTGACGAGACCAATATTGCCGCTTTCACATACCCTACAACATTGACTGTTTTTTTCTGTTTTCTTCCTGTCGCTTACGTTCTCACGCGCGCGTAGGTGATGTAGATGATGTAGGTGATGTAGGTGTTTCAGCTCCTTCGAAGGCACGGCCGCGGCGGCTGTACTGATCTTGTTTCTTCCTATCTATCCGAGGAAGGATGAGGCCGTAGACATATCTGAGTCGGTGATGTTTTGCATACGGCCTGAGGCTCAGATCCGCACCGGAATAACCATTATACGGCGTTTGGCGGTGTCTGTACAGACAACTTCCCTATCCCTCTCCTATCCTTTGCCTCTGCTTTTGTATTTTGGTAGTACAGAGTAACCGATGATGGCACGATAATGTATCAAACCTGTCACTATCCATGATTATGAAGGCCGATGGACAGAACAACACTTGGGTCTCCTGCAATTCGACATGCAATCAACAGTCAGATATTGACTGTCGCAGTGATGATACCATAACACCACTACAGCACCATAGCCGTGCCAGATGATAAGCACGTGATCAGATCAATGCATCCGACTTCAATCAGGCTTCTAAATCAGATAGTCAAAACGGCCAAAAGCTGTACTCTATTTCTCTATATCGGCCGTAAGGGTCCATTGTCACCAGCTCAGTCAAAGGGCCCTTCTTTTTTTTTTCCACTTATACAAGGCGACTGACGCGCTGCCTGTACATTTCGAGACCTCGACTCCCTTGGCTCACAGATTAAAAAAGAATCTCACAAACCATCCAAAAAAAAACAAGTTGGTAAAGAAGAACAAAATCCATAATTCTCTTTTTCTTTATCTTTGAAAAAAAAACCGTCATTTTCCTTCTCTTTTTTTCTTTTCCTCTTTTTTTTAAATCCCTTTGCTTCCAAACTCTTTCTCTCATTATATAATAAGCTACCTTTCATACTACGTCGTAATCCATTCCAGAGACATCACCTCTCGGCTTGAAAGCATTCACCCTCACTCGAGGGGACATCTAGGCCTTGGGGTGCGAGGCAATCGACTTCTGGGCCAGACGCCTCTCGGTGTTCTTGCGGGAGTTGACAAAGTCGGGGTAGTTGAGGGTGAGCTCGACGGCGCCCTGGGTGATGGCGTCGACGGCCTCGACACCGAGCATGAACGAGTGGTCCTGGTTGCCGACCTCGTAGCGCCAGCTGCCGAAGCGGCCGCGCGAGTAGATGCCGAGGTCCTGGAGCTTAGGCAGGAGGTCCTTGAGGACGCCCTCACGCTCCAGCGAGGGGGTGGGGTAGCCGTGGTAGAACTTGCGGGTGTAGGTGGAGACGATCTCGTCCTCGGGCTTGAGCATCTCGGTGTTGATGAGACCCTGGATGGAGTCCCTGAGGAGGTTCTCCTCGTCGACGGGCTTCATGCCCGACTGCGAGACCTCGAGCATGATGGACCAGTAGGGACCCTCCTGGGCCTCGGCCGAGTCGGCCTTGCTGCCGTCGGCCTTGTACAGGGTGGGCAGCTTGACGTCCTTCTGGGGCTGGTTGTAGGGGGAGTAGTTGGAGAAGATGGTGGCGCGGTAGAAGGGGCAGTTGTCCTCGGGGAAGTACAGCCAGCACTTGTCGCCGATGCGGTCGGGGCGGGCGCCGCGGATACCGACACCGATGACGTGGGTCGACGAGAAGTAGAGACCCTTGGACAGGTTGATGAGCTCCTGGTTGCCCATCTTCTCAACCAGCTGGTCGACATTCATGGTGGAGATGAGGGTGCCGTAGCCGATGGTGGTGCCGTCGGCGAGGTGAACTTTCTTGGCCTCGGCATCGACCTTGGTGACGGTACCGGCCTTGCCAAAGATCTTCTTCTCCTTGGGGAGGGTGTTGGCAACGGCGGTCCAGATACCGCCGGTACCGTCACGGGCAGGGAAGCGGAAGGTGGCGTTGGGGCCCCAGTTACCGGCAGTCTTCTGCAGGATGACGTTCTTGGCGACCGTCTTGACATCGGGGGCGGCGACACGCTCACCGAGCCACTGACACTGCATCTGTTGGGTCGTCAGTGGACCTGTTCTCGCTCGCATCCCGCAACAGGAATCCATCTCATCTCTGGGGCGGATCGAGGCCTGTCCTGGTGGAGGTGGGAAGCCGGGGATTCTCTCTGCTTACCTTGGTGGTGGGAACGGCCCAGACCTTGTAGTTGTAAGGACGCATGAAGATGTTGGCGATGCCCTCTCCAGTCATGCGCAGGATCCACTCGTCAAAGTCCTTGGGCTTGTCGTTGGCGACGCGGGCCGTGAGGGCGGCGTCGATGAGACCGTCCATGCACTTGACCTGGTCCTCCTTGGGGAGCATGGAGATGTTGTTCTGGAAGGGGTAAGGCACCCAGAGGCCCTTGTAGCGGACGTAAGAGATACGCTCGTGGGTGAACCAGTCGTCTTCCTTGGGGAGAGCCTCGTCGAGGCAGTCGTCGAAGTATTTGTAGTGGGAGAAGATGACGTGGCCACCGACATCGTAAAGCTGTGCAGAAGGGGGATCAAGTCAGTCAATCTTGTTCTCAGCGGGAGGAGATGGCGGGGTAGAGGTGTGGAACATACGAAGCCCTCGTCGGTGGTGTCAGTTCCGGCAAGACCACCAGCCTTGTCGGCAGAGTCAAGGATGAGCCATGAGGGGCCGTTCTACAATGAAAACTCTCGTCAGCGGATTTCTCTCTAGAGGGAGAAGTTGGGCGGCCTATCGAGAGAAAGACTCACGATGTGGTTGAGACGCTTGGCAGCACCGAGACCAGTAGGTCCCATGCCAATGACGAGGACGTCAACGTTCCTGGAAGGGATGTTGTTAGCATCTTTGCCTTTCCGTCCCTTTGGTCTCCTCGGAAAGGGCTCTCGAGCGTTGGGCGAGAGGGAGAGGGAGCGGGGAGGAAACACGATGTGCCAAGTGAAGAGGGGGGGAGAGGAGGGGAAAAACAAGAGGAGCAGTGTCATTCTTCCCGATTGAGAGTGATTCACTTACTTGTCGGCACTCATTGTGAATTTGGCGAAGAAGGAAGCTTGGGGGGGGAATTGGGAGGGAGAGGAATTGAGGTTGTGAGAAGATCGAGCAGAAAGCCAAGAGGGATAGGCGGGACGAAGGAGAGGTTTTAGGGAAGAGAGGGAGGGTTCGAAGCAAAGAGAGAGGGGGGGGGGGGCAGATGGAGCTCAGTAGCGGTCTGTAATAAACCGTACCTGTACCTATAGGATGGCACACCCACCCACCAATGCAGTCAAGGCAGCCCGGTCAGCCAGAGCCAGCCGGCCAGAGGCAATAATATTTTTCAACCCCTTCTCGTTTTGCCCGCCGGCTCTGGTCGCGGGGGGGCAGTTGCCAGCATAGAGCGGTGTCCCTCTCTCTCTCCCACTTCTGTCTTTTGGCGGGGACCTGTCCCCTGATGGAGGGGCTAAAATTATTATGGGGACGCTTCGTAGGTGGAGACCAGCCGCCGCCGCCCAACTTCGAGTTGCCTCTGCTCTGCTGGCGCTGCGATGGGAGCCACCCCTTAGCTTCATGGTACCCACCCCAACCATCTCTCTCCCCCCCCCTTCCAATTGCCCCCCATCTATCCTGCCCCTGAATTCGTCACAACTCATTTGATATTACTAGTAGTAGCATGTAGTAGTACAGATACTCGTAGCACTGTTGGCTCCCTTCCCCTCTCCCTCTCTTTCTCCCATCCCGCCCCCTTTGGCAAAGGCATTAATTACTACGGTTCGTACGCGTACGCAGTCCAGGACGACCCCTCGATTCATGGGGGGTGTTGGTGGTGGGGGGATATGATGACGGCAACGTACGACATATGAGCATGGTTAATGATTATTCACCTTGACGAGTATCATTATAATCCTACGACCTGTCTGCGCGAGTATGCCGCGTGCAACGTAACTCTGTGTCCCGCAGTACCAGATACCCATACGACGACGTACAAGGTGAAAGGTTCGATCACAGGCGTGCGAGTATTGGTTCGGTATGGTCGTGACCGTTGTCGTCCGGGAACAGGTACGAGTGCAGGCCAATGCGAGAAATACCGTTATTAGCAATCACTACTCGTGCTAGGACTGTACGAGTAATTCCCATGGCCGTGCTAGTCAGATGATGACCGAACCCTCTGTAGGAGCATGGAGACGACGAGTAGGGCTTCCCGTACCTCTCTCTCTCTCTCTCTCTCTCAGCCGCCATGTGGTAATAAGTCAGTAGCTCGACAAAAGTGCCCTTTTGATCTCTGCTCGTAGGACTCGTTAGCCTGCCAGGGCCCAGGGTTGGTGAGGTGATCTGCCTTTTCCTATTAGCGCTTGTACGGGTACGCGCACACATATATGGAAACATTTCCGTACCAAGCCCAAGGGGTGTTTGTGGCGTTGTATCTGCGGCAGGAGAAAAGAAGAAGAAAAAATAAGCCCAGCGAGTCTTACACGAGTATTATATATCTGATATGTAGGGTTGAGTAGTAAGAGAGTCAAGTAACTATATGTGGTAGGAACCGTAAGATTAGATAGATGATATACATCACTGCGAGTCTTGGCACGGCCCCCCCCTTCTCCCCAACCGAGAGCAGGAAAAGCTTGGCCTTTCTCCCCTCAGTGGAAAAACTTGGGGTTTAGTGCTTGCTTGCTTGTCTTGTCTGGCCACGCTGCTGCTGCTGCTGCTGCCTTTTCTTTTCTCTTTTTCGTGCTGGAGAGACGCTGCCGGTACCCGCGACGTGAAAAGAAAAAAGAAAAAAAAAAGGGG